CTAAAACTGAATTTGCATGTCTTGAGTGAGCTGGTAAATTTTCTTTTTTTTTTCATTTGAGAACTTTCATAAACTAGCCTCTTCCTTCTACAGTCAGTTAATAGCCAATTTGGAATCACCCTCCACTAGCAGCTTCCTAATATTCAGTTGTTTGGATCTTTTTATTCCTTCTAATACTGATGAAATTTCAGCTCTCAGAGATTCCCCCCAACCTATAGGCCCTAAAAACATGGCCATAATTCAGCCTTCTTCATCCCTGAACACTCCTCCTATACCTGAAGGGCTTGGGTTCCTTTCGCTGCTGCCATCAAAATTCAATTTAGTGAACCCCATAGTTGGAGGAGACCAAGCTGGAACAAAGGCATTAATCAACCAAGCAGACCAGGCATCTTCTTTCAAATTTCTAATGATATCTCTTGCTGAGAAGCCTTCAAAAAGCTTCATAGACTTGACCCAATGAACCACCCTAATGTAGATTAAATCAATGATGGCTTCTTTGTTCTTTTCTTTTTCCTGGAAAGTTCGTTGATTTCTTTCATCCCACATTGTCTAGCATACAACTGCTCTTACACATCTCTACAAGATCTTACCTCTCTTTTTTAAACCCCTCACTGGAGTAGAGTTAAACAAGCTTCGTACACTTTGGGGAGTGGGCCACCTGCAACCAAAAAGAGAGAAAAACCAACACCAGATTTCTAAAACAAAAAGGACAGGAAACAAATAAGTGATAACAGCTATCACCATTCCTCTTACATAAGATACACCAGTGCGGGGATAAACACCATCTTGGCCTTTTCTTTTGAAGTAAGTCACAAGTGTTACACTTTCATAGGACATCTTCCCAGCATAAAACACCTACTCTTGGAGGAATTGGTCTACCCCAAACTCTCAAAACCGGGAAAGGAAAATGAAGGGCCGAATGGGAATGGGTTAATTCCTTGAAGAAAAAAGAGCATGAAAAAATACCCGAAGGAGTAGGAGCCCAAATCCTACTGTCCAATCTAGAGGGGTCAACAACTACCTCCTCTAGAATCTTAATCAAATTAAATATGGAATCCAATTCAAAGTCTCTAAGAGGCCTTCGGAAGCCCAGGTTCCAAACAGGGCCAGAATTAGAAAATGTTAGGAAAGTAACAACAAGCTCATTTTTAAACCTTGAGAGAGAGAACAAAGAAGGAAACTACTCTTCCAAAGGTGTGTTGCCCACCCAGATATGTTCCCAAAATCTTACAGAATTGCCAGAGCAAAGGTCATACCTGATAAAAGGATGGAAAAACAGCACGAATATACTCCCGGGGGGAAGCTCTTGTAGCCCTAGATGAAACACCCGTGTCCCAACTGTCTGCCTCTTGGCCATGAATACTTAAGACTATTTTAGCCCACAGATTATCCTTTTCCTTTGTTAGTATCCATAACCATTTCCCTAATAGAGCTTCATTTTTCTTCTACAAGTTACCCAAGTCAAGACCACCATCCTTTTTAGCTCCAGTTACCTTATCCCACCTAACTCTATGGTCCCTTTTCTCCTCCCCAGGTTCCCATAGGAAATCTCTCATGAATTTCTCCAACACCCTACACACTCCCTCAGGAATCTTAAACACAGACAGAATATTAGGAGGTTCGCCAAGGTTGCTTTAATCAACATTATCTTATCACCCAAAAATAGTTTTTATAACATGAAACTAGCCTTTTTGTGAATTTCTCAATCATCAGATTCTAAAAGTCCCTTCTACTAGGATTATCCCCTTAGGGAAGTCCCAAATATTTCAGTGGTCACTGTGCAATCTTGCATCCCAATATTTGGGCCCTTTCTTCCACCTCTCCGGCCCTCATATTAATACCAATCACACAACTCTTATCAAAGTTGACTTTGAGGTTGGTCACATGTTTAAATACATTAATCATCTCTTTTAAGTTTCTAACCCACCTAATCTCATCCCCTCCACAAAACAAAATTGTGTCATCTACAAATTGTAAATGAGTGATCTACCCTCCCAACTTTCCATCCACTTACCAGATCCCTCTGCCCTCTCCACAAAACAAAATTGTTTCTACCCCAATTCTCTCTCCTCTCACCCCCTTTCTCTACTCTTTAGTCTCTCCCTTCTCCTTCTCATTCATTTTTCATGAAGCCCAATTTTTGTGTTAGGGTTAAACCAACCAGGTAAACACATACGACACTACAGGAAAAACCTAAAGATTCTTTTTTTATTGTTTTAAATATCCAAATGAATTATTAATGGGTGTGGGTGGTTACCGGTTGGTGTACAATCTTCTATATTCATCCCTAAAAATACAGCACCATCTAAGAAACAATAGGATAGTTGCCATAAAGAGATTATTTGATTTACTTACCCTAAGAGGCTACTAGAGGCATTCTCCCATGTTAAGTGTTTCTTGGGAGTAGGGGTGTCCATGAAAAACCGAAAAACCGAACTGAGAAAACCAAACTACAAAATGAGGTTATCTAAATCGACCGATTCAGTTTCGATTTGAGATTTTTGAAAAACCAAAAGACCGATTTGGTTTTCGATTAACCTACAAAAAAACCAATGGTTAACTGAACCAACCGATATATATATTTTATGTATATTTTATACATATATTTAATACATGTCACATATTTTCTATGTATTATATATAAATATATATTCATTATATATATAAATATATACTTCTATTTATATACATTTATATAAGCATAAACATAAATATCGTATCGGAAGCCTCAAGCCTCGTACACCCTACAGGGGGTGTTTTGAGGTTTTACCCGATTGAGGGGGTCAAAGGACCTTAGACCAACCCCTTTGAACCAAGTTCACAAAAGAACAAAAAAACTAAAAAAAAGGGGAGTGAGGGCTGATACAGCCCTACCAACATTTCGAACTATATCAATATTTTGAACCTTGCTGATAACAAATTGGTTAAGAGGGGGCCAAAGGACCTTAGACCGACCCCTTTGAACCAAGTTCACAAAAGAAAAAAAAAAAAAAAAAGGGAGCGAGGGCTGATGCAGCCCTACCAACATTTCGAACTATATCAATATTTTGAACCTTGCTGATAACAAATTGGTTAAGCGAGGACGCACACCCCAAAATAATTGGTTGTATATGCTTTTGTTCCAAAACTGAAAGAAAATAAAAAATTACCATAGTTTAAAAAAGACGAGAATGGTTTGCTTTTTTGTAAGCAAATGTTCAAAATATCGATACAGGGCAATACGCCAATAGGGCATTCGGCCTGTATCGGCACTGTTTTTTATTTTTTTTTTCGAAACTGATTCAGAGGAGCTGGTTTAAGGCCAGTCCACCCTCTCAACTACTTGCAAACCCAAAACACCCCCCTATAGGAGCATATCGGGAAGACTCCGATATGATACATATCAACCGATACGTGACAAAATTTTGATCCTTAGTATGCAAAACCATTTCTTAGAACAAAAACATCGTTAAAGAATGTGTTTCAATTTTTTTTACAAGGATTAGTTTGTAAAGAATGCAATACAAATATGTACCATGCAAATACAAAAGTTTAGAAATACACCAGTTTTTGCACTCCATATTTGATTTTTGCACTCTTCTCAAACTAAGCCTAATATTGTGATTTTAAAGGCAAACAAGAGTGCAAGATTTGGTAGTTTCATGTACTGAATAAAAATAACAAGTGGATGAAGTGACTACTAGTATCTGCGCTCTAACAAAAAAGAGTACGAACTACACGTTGCACAGAAACACAAGTGATAATATTATCATGGTTTTAGCAACATGCCTATCCTTTTATTCCAAAGGAACACCTGTCTTTTTTCGTAGAAACCCTGAGAGAATTTTTCATGGAACAGCAGTAAGAGGTGGCAGATTAACCCTGCAGGCCAATAATACCTACACAAGAAAAAAGCTTAAATAAATCAAATGCAAATCAACACCTAAACCTCAATAAATGACTAAAGTTTATTAATTGTATGTTTATTTTCTGGACACTCAGGATAGATATTATTGGCACACATTACATACACATATGGCTATAATTTGCATCATTGACAGAAACCTCCCCATTAGATCATTGTTTACAAGTGTATGGGGTTTTAATGCCGGTTGTCAACCCGATACAACCATCCTCTATCTGGGCTTGGGACCACCGTGTAAGAGAGAAGGCGGTGTTGATTTGATTCTAGGGTATTTTATCAATTTGGATCCTATCAGAATTTTGAATTTTCAATATTACCTAAGACTGATCATCTTCCAAGAGAAAAAAAAAGATTCAAAAAAAAAGGAAAGAAAAAACTTGTTACTGTCTTGTACATATAGATTAGGCTTTTCTGAATGCATATTAATACATTTATTAATTATAATCTCTATATAACTACACACAAATGTAAAGACCAGTCGAAGATATATTGGATGAGAATGAAGTACTTTTGACAGCCCCCACACACAATAATAAATAGGGCATACTTCTCTTTTCCAGCATGCAATGTAGCAAGGGAAAGTCGATCCTTGTGACTAGGGGTGTAAACGGTTTCCAATTATCCGATTTCCGACGTAATTGAATCGAATTCTACACCCACCGCCCTTCGCTATTAGTTACTGAGCTCTTGCTATAGCTCTAGGGCTAGGGCTTCTTTCTAGCTCTTGCTCGCGGCTCTACTTCATTCTTTTTCAAAGCCCTGGCTACTACTCGAATTCATTCCTCTCGGTAAGTGAAGCTCCCTCTTTAAGATTTTAAATGTATATAACAAATGATATCACCTACACCTACCTAGTCGAGTGGTCATTTCATTTCAATGACCCTTCCCCTGCCCCCACTCTCTCTCTCTCTCTCTCTCTCTCTCTTCTCGATGACCCTTCCTCTCCTCTCCCCTCCCTCCCTCCCTCTCTCTTGTCCTTTCCTCTCCTTCTTTTAAGTTTTAATTTCATTCTTATTCCTCCTCTTTTCTATTAGCACTTCTCCTCTCTTCCTCTCTCTCCCTATTTTTTTTTATTTCCAATCTTTGCAAGCTATCAGCACCGATGGCAGCATCAGTGATGGCAGTCGAACACCAGTCACCAGCCACTACCATCTCCTTCGCCGCTGTTCAAATTCAAACTCAACACCTCAAGGCCCTCAACTGTCCAACATCATGGGTCATTGTTCTGCAACAGTCCAGCATCACCAGCCAGCACTGCTCACTACCATCGCACTGTTAGGAACCCACGACTGTCACCATCACACACTCACACTTGGCCCACCGCCGTCAATCCCCTGCCTCTTTTCTCAAGCTAATTACTTGTTTTTTTTCCAAAATCAATCATTTAATATTATAGGCCTGATGCCGGTCGAATTCAAATCAATTCGAATATTCGATTTAATAATAGAATTCGAATTGAAACATTCGATATCCGGCGAATTGAATTCGAATCTAGCCTGATTCGATTCGAATTCGATCCGTTTATAGGCGTACTTGTGACACCCAAATCTAGTATTTGGGTGTGGATTGCAAAAAAATTCATATCCATACTATATATAAAAGTGTGGATACAGTGTGAAACTTTGTTGGCTAAAACTATCCTCTATTTCTTTGTTTGAGAAAGGGTATAAAAGTCAATTTATTATAGCTTTAAATGACAGCTTTAAAGGCTACTAAGGGTTAAAAATGTAACTTCAATTATTACTTTTCACCCCATTTAATCCCCTTTCATTAAGTCTTATACTTAAGGTATTAAATCCAATTTTCTCTTGTTAAATTCTATATTTTAAGTTACTTTTCACTAATAAATAATACTAATTAGATCTATGTCAAGATTTTTAACAATATAAACCTATATATTTTAAAATTGACTCAAAAACAAAATTATTCTTTATCCAAGTGGTGACTAAACAATTCAACCATCCAAATCATATTGATCAGCCTATGAAGTCATAGTTAGGTAATAACATTTTTAAAATAAAAAATAATTATAAAAATTATAAAAATATATAAAACATTAGACACATTTATGATATTTTTATTGATCAAATTAAAAAAGTGTAATAAACAAAACTGAATTTTATTGATAATGAAAATAAAAAACATAATTTAGAACTGACCAAAAATGAAATATAAAAATTAATAATAAATAATTCAACAAAAAAGCACTTGGGAACATATATAATATCATATATTTATCATATTAAACAAAAAGTGTGATGTATCAAAATTATTTTTACACAAAAATATAAAAAAAATTATAGAAAAAACTATTATTGAACAAAAGAATTTAACTAAAATACTCATTTTTGAATTTAGTCCCTATTTAATTATAGAATTTAAATTGTAATTGAACTATTACTTTTCAGCTCATTCAATTTCCTCTACACTTTTTTTTATTAATGAACAAAAGAAGAAATACACCAAAAGGATAAAACACTACAAAAAGAAGAGTAGACAAGTAGGTAGGCGTATCAATGATACTTGAAGCTTCACAACTTGATCCAACTATCACATATTTGGATGAGGTATTTATGTAATCAGACTTGGATTTTGCAATCCACATTTAATTAATAATAAAAAACAAAAAATAAAAATTACATAAAGTTTATAGAAAATTTTGGATATATGATTACTATCATTATCATCATCTAGAATTGCCACATGCAAAACATGCGCACACTTGCTAATTCTAGAATAAGCGCAAGGTGCAAAAATACAAAATACTAATCATACAAAATTAAAAAATACAAAAGAAACATTGATATCCAACATTTGTGCTCGAGGTGCATGCGTTCTCGAAGCAAGGTGCAAAATTACAAAAAAAAGGCAAAACAATTCAAAAAAAAATACTTATAATAATATAAATAAACTTTAATTTCAAAATGATTATTTTAAAAAACCTATTATCTAAAATTAATACATAAATATAACATGTAAAACATATTCAAATGAAAATTTAAAATTAAAATAAAACATATAAAACATTTTCAAGCATGTAAAACCCACAATTCCTTTTTCTCCTCAATTGCATTACTTCAAATAGTTTGCTCGCTTTGCTTGCTCACCAAAGGTTTGAGAACCCCCTATTTACTAACGTTGTTCATTCATTCATCCTAGTAAATTATCTTTTCAAAAGATAATTAACATTATAAAATCATTTATTTTTGTGTAATGATTAAGAACTTAAGACCCTAACATAGATATAGATTTGTTTGGGCTTGCCTAGAGGGGCTTGGTTAGGGGTTTGGAGCTCTTGTCCCAACTGTTAGGTTAAAAAATGAACAAAGGGGACAAACAATTAAAAAGGCGCACCAGATGCATGCCTAGGCGCACACCTTAATATGCGCCCCACCTAAGCACCTAGGTACACCTTCAAATCAAAACCATTTTTTGTTGTTGAGATATTAATCGGGATTTGACCAGATCAATTCCATATTTGGTCTATTGCATGATCTAAGAGAAACAAACAATAGTAAGGAATACAGGGGAAAACAATTTCATACCACAAGCTACTCTGCCTCCAGCATTCCCGGTGCTTTTGCTAAGTTCATGTCCTCCTGCACAAATACATCTTTAGATAAGTTTAAAATCTAAATAAACCAATGGATTTTACTTTGAAAGTATAAACCAATGAACACTTGCACATAATCAGCATTAACTAAATAATCAATTGATACAGTATGCTTAAGTATCCTCAAATTCCACTGTTGACTAAGCTAGTGGAATTGCTTACAGTATTCATTACTATAAATAAACCCAACTATTATAATTTGTAAACCATTTAGGCCTAAACAATCTACTCTTAGTGGTAAGATCAACCTTTCTAATTACCATGAGAAAATAAGAATCTAGCCCACCTAGAAAAAGAAAGGCCATACCATCCAAGCCTTACCACCTTACAAGTAATCAACTAAGGGTACAAGTCGGGCCAGGTTAGGACAGGCTCTTGGGTTGAGTTAGCATTAGGTTGTGCTCGGGTTGGCCCAATTACTTTGCCTCTTTTTGCTAAAACCTTTTTATTTCTTTGACTTAAGAATCACAACTCACTTCAACATTATCATATGTACAAGGACGTAATTATGGTGCTTTTAGCATTAATTTTTGCCTTACCCGAAGTTTAGTTGGTTAGCTATTTCTCAACCATCCAACCGAAGCTGACTTTTTTTCAAGTTAGGTAAGGCTAAAACCAACTCAAGTTACAGCCCAGTTATCTAATCTGATACCAAACTTTAGGAACACCAGTCAAAATTTGAAACCAAGCAAGATGTATATACTGTTATTGATTTGAAATTTGATCGTGGTGGCAATATTGAGTGCTACTAAGGGAAAAAAAATTGTGCGTGAGGGTAAATATAGATGCCATTTGAGAGGGTCTAAGCTTTTGCAGTGGAGGGAAGAATAAAAGTGAATGTTGACAACTGCTGCCTTGTTAACCCAGAACCCTCTCAAGTAGGTGTTGGTATTTTTAGAGACTACTGGAAATACATTGCAAAGCAACCGAGGTATAACAGGTGAAGATACATTGGGCTCAGTTTATTACTCAGTTCAAAAGCCTAAAACTAGCCTATTCTCTGGAACAGAACAGATTGGTGGAGGAATGCAATTGTAAATTGGTGATAGGCTGGCCCACAGAACTGAACTGCGAGCACCAGGCCAAGGAATTAATGTGTAAATATATGGTGATCTTGTTTTGTACGTCAGTCATTAGCTGTTAGTATTGTTCCCCTTCATTCAGAAGTGTGGAATATTGGGGGTTTCTCCTTTGTGTAAAATACATAGAAACCTTTTGGTAAACAGTAAAAGCCATTTGTAATCATTCAATACAGCCAGTGGTGACAGGTAACCTTCATTTGATCAGGCATAAAAAGAGTTATAGGCTCTAGCATCAAATCCACAATTAACTTTTCAGCCATGCTGCCAACTCATCAGATTACGGAGACACYTGGAATTCTAGAAATTGCATCCATTTGACCATTTTAGAAGAACAAAAAAGTATCATTTCTAGCTCCATAGCTGACGGTTCCTCAATCCCTTCTATTTGTTGCTGTGTTATTTTGTTTTGTTTCTTTTTTAGGGTAAATTACAAATTCACTACCTGGGGTTTCCAATACTAACAAACACCAACCCCCGGTTTCTAAAATTGTTCTGCAATTAACTCAAGCTATTTGATAATTGCAGATACCCTCTCTTTGTCCAGGAAAACAAAAATTACCAACAAAAAAGGAAGTTTAAGTAATTACCCTTCCCAAGATCATCAGGATCAGCATGTACCACGACAGCCCTTCCAATAATTGAATAGGGTCCAGTAAGAGGAATCTGCAAACATAAATCAACATTTGACGAAATGGACCATAACAAGTGTAATGGGCATTTACAAATGAAAGTTGAGGGAAAAATAGAAGATAAGGCAAATTACCTGCTTGTCAACAATGGTGATGTTAACAGTACCTGAATGATAAGAAACCCAAGCTTTTAGACACAAATGAAGTCTATACAGCACTGTAACTGCAGTACTGTACTAAAATAAATAGATTTTGCTTGTATAGCTGTGCCGGTTGTGTTATACCCACCTCTCTGAACATGTGATAATTCTTTGTAACCATATGGATGGGATTTTATGCTTTTGGCAAAACTAAGAACCCCCCTCTCTGAAATCCCAACCCAAAGAACATCCAAACAAAAGCTAAAATAACAAGAATTGCAATATGATGATGACGGTTATGGCCATGCAAGAAAGAGAGAAAACCGAAGAACACCTACCATCCTCACCAACAGTGACATTCCCAAGGTCACCAGCATGACGGTTTTCATCCTCAGGAGCACCATGCTCTTTGCTTTGAGGATTAAAATGTGGTCCTAAAAATTGAACAACCAAGCAATATTAAAAGGAAATCAGCAGACAATCCAGCTTTAAAGTTAAAAAAAAAAAAGGGAAGTTCATGGTTTTCCTGTTTTTTGGTGCTACAAAAAGGTCATAGTATTACTCGAAAGGCATAATACCTGTTGACATACAACCATTTGTGGTGTCACCAAGGGCATGGACATGGAAACCATGAAGCCCGGGTTTAAGACCTGAGACACTTCCTGTTACTTTAGTTGATCCTAAAACAAAAAATGAAACTGCAAAAATGAGTTTGATCTTACAAAACAGTGTTAATACTTCCAACTTTTAAATAAACAAATGAACTAAAATGCAATTACCATCTTCTTCCTCGGTAAAGTAAATGGTGCCACTGACACCCTCCCTGCTGTTAAGAACGGCAACAGCTTTCACCATCGTTCTATGTGATCTAAACATAAAACCTAATTAGATATACAATAACAAGAAAATCTAGAGAAAAGAATAGAGGAAACGAGGGGAGTGATGGAAAGAGGGCAAAAGGAGATGGGGAGTTTTTCTTGGCATTATAACGGGTTATTCTCTTACAATAGTTAACTAGAAGAGGAAACGATGCAAAATCTGTAAAGATTCTTAAATTTCAAGTCAAAGAATCAATAGTTGGAGTTGCATTTTCCAATCCCCAAAAGTTCTAGTGCAGATTGTTAGCATAATCGTGATTTCTTCATTTTTTTTCTCTAAAGATTCACAATAAAGAAAGCAGTGAAAAAACAAAGGTTATCAGAAAACACCTTATCATTTAAAACAGTCAAGACTATAAAGTACATCAAATTATAATAGTAGTTAACCATGTCAATGGCTTAGAAAAATAAACAAAGAACACAACGAGGCTATCCTTTTTTTTCTTCCTTTCTTATAATTAGAATACTCCGGTCCATTCAATCTATATTCGATATCTCTAGTTATTTCAACTAAATATCCAGCAGATCTACATCAGAAGATTTAGAAATTAGAGTCCAAGCAAGAACCAAAAGTGTCGAATAGAGTTCAAAGCAGTTCATACGTACGGTCCTTAAATATCAGAAATAAATCAACAGATACTCTTAATTTCTTTCAAGTGGAAGTATCAAATGAACGAGACAGACCCTAAATCTATAAGTTCAGAAAATGAGCTCGATTCCATCATGCTGAGAAGCCAAACAGAAAATTGGAAAAAAAAAATCAAAATACAGGATAAAGGTCGGAAAAGGCAAATGATCGGCGTCCAGATCAAGCCCAGAAAAAAGGTAAAAAACAGAACAATAGACATAAAACCTAGAGAGCATATGTTCTTCAAAGAATCGTATTTAAGTGTTAAACCCTAAAACACAAACAACGATTGAAAGTGTTAGACCCTATAAAAAGCTTCTAATCGGAGAAGGCCCGGAGAAGCATGGGCTTTACCTCAGAACACCCCCTAGAAAGAGACAGAGAAAGAGTAGGCTTCGATCGTCCGCTCCTGTGATGAAATACAGTAAAGGCAGCGACACAGAAAACTCTTCCAGCTGCCACAGCTCAACTGCTTTTATAAGGAGAATCAATGCGACAAATGTGGAATTTAACAAGTAGCCAGTGGCCACCTACCCCTCGAAAAAAAAAATATATATATATATATAATATATTAAAATAAATCGGTCAAGAAATTTTTTTTTTTTTTTATTCCATATCATTTTTGAAATAACAAGATGCACTTTTTCTAATAAGATAAATAATATTTTTTTCTAAAATTTCTCCTAAACTACTTCCCTCACTTTTTCCAAAATTATCTCTAATTCTTATTTATCCTCTCCCCTACATTTTTTCTATATCTATCTAAAAAAATTTAGATTAAAAAAATTAAAAATTATTTAAATATTCTAATAAAATTATATAATAACTTTACAATATTTATTAAAAATACAAAAAAAAATATTTTTATATTTTTACAAAATATATCACGAAATTATGTACTAACAATTTAAATTATATTTTTTTCGGATTATTAATTTAAATATTTAATAATATATAATAGCTTTAAATAAATAAAATTCAAATAACAAAAAATTTTAAATATTCTATAGATTATTTAAATATTTAAATAACTAAATATGTATCATAACTATATTTTAAATAGTTCAAATAACGAAAGTATGTAATAAATTTAAAAAATTTCTTTAAAGTAGAAAAATAATTAGAACATAATATTGAAATTAATAATAATTTAATATATTACAAAATTAATAATAAAATTACGTAATAATAGTATAAATTATGGTTTTATGGATAATTAAATAGATGTATACATAATTATTGAAAATGTATTTATCACAAAAAACAATAAATATTTACTAAAAGACAATGAATGTTAATTTTAGTATATATAAATATAGATTAAGTTTTTAAAGTTATTATTAATAAACATTAATTTTTATGAAAGTTATTTTCAAGAAATATTAATTTGTATAGTTGTTTACAATATTATTTATTTATTGAAATAATATCATTATTTAAATTTTGAAATATTAATTACTTATTGAATTTAATAATCGATAAAATTATAGTACCATTAATACATAACTTTGTTGTTTTAACTATTTAAAATATAGTTATGTTAAATATTTTGTTATTTAAAATATTTAGTTATTTAACTAAATATTTAAAATCTTAATCTATTTATTATAATTGAAAGTTATTCATTAACTATTTAAAATATATTATTAGTTGATTTAAAATATTAATTTTAATATTTTGTTATTTAGGATATTTAGTTATTGCAATATTTGAATAGCATTTAGATTGAATAATCAAGAAAAATCATAATTTATATTGTTTGTACACAATTTCGTGATAAGTTTTGTAAAAGTATATAATTATTAATAACATGAATATTATTAAATTGATTATAATTATTTTTTGTCTTTTTAATAAATATTTTAAAGTTATATATAATTTTGTTAGAATATCTAAGTAATTTTTAAATTTATTAATTGAAACTTTCTTTAGATAGATGTAGATAAAAAGTGGGGGAGAAAAATAAGAATTAGAGATAATTTAGAAGAGAAACTCTCTACTAAATTAGAGATAATTAAGAGAAAGTTGAAGATAGTGGGGGAGGTTGTTTAGGAGAAATTTTAGGATATTAGATTATTTAGTTTATTGGAACGTGAGAGAGAGAGAGAGAGAGATTTTAGAAGACTTAAACCTCCGTTAGTATTTCTCTTAGATATCGAGACTTTCCTTTTTTTCCAAAATGGATAAGACCTCCCCTATAACCGTTATCTATTACCATTTATTTATTTATTTTATTTCTGTATCATTTATAAAAATGAGAGGATGGTGGCAATGTTTCGTCAAAAAGCCTGATTTTTTATTTTCCATTTTTACCCTTTATCATGTTTTTTATTTTAAAGCTTGATTTTCACTTTTTGTTTTTACCCTTTATATTATTATGTTTTTTTTTATTTTTCCAATTTTATTTAATTAATAGTTAAAACTTGTAATTGGATAATCTCTGTACCATTTATAAAAATGAGGATGGTGACAATGTTTCGTCAAAAAACCTAATTTTCACTTTCCATTTTACCCTTTGTTATATATTTTTTATTTTATTTAATTAATGGTTAGCACTTGTAATTGGATAAAGCAAATAAAATAATAATAGGACTGTTGTGGAGCCTACTCCTCGTCTTATCTAATCTGCTCCCGAAGTGCCTACTTGATGAACCTCTTCATTGGTTAGAGCCAACGCGTGTCAAGTATCTGATGGTTTGTCCAAACCACGAATTTGAATTGAAGGGAGGAATGGATTTTTTCAACCTCTCTCTTTTCATCATGGAACAATCAATTAGATGATTAAATGAAGCTTTTTTTTCTCCTTGTTTTTTTTTCAATTGTCTCCGTTAATGTAATAAGTTGTATTGGATCAGGAAATGATCTTATCATTATATTGATTCATTTTAGGATGTTTTTTCTTGACGATCATTGGGCCAATCTAGTGATCTGGTAATCTGACACCCTACCAACATAATATCGTAGGGGTTTGGAATGCATTTTGTTGGTAGGAGATCCAAACTCTTCTATGTAAATTGGATGGATGTTCAATTCGAATCTGAATAAAAATGAATCAGGATCAACCTATATCCTGTTGCTAGCCATTAGATATGCAAATAATGGCCCCACCATTGATGAGTAGAATGACGAGGCAAAAGGCCAAAATGTCATCATTCGTACATGAAGCGATGACAAATTCTAAAATCCTAGTTTTCTCTTTAAACCCCTCTCTGCATAGTAGAGGTGTGCGGTCCGACCCGACACGAAGGCCCACGGGTCGTGCCAGGCCTGGCACAGAGGTATGTGCCATGTTGGGTCGGGGGTTTGAGGCCCATGGGGCAGCACGACATGGTACGACAGTCGAGCTGCCTGCGGCCAGTGTGCCGACCTGGCCTAGCCTGCGGCATGGCCCACGGGGCCCGTAGTAGGCCACGCTTGGCCCGCCCGGAATATAGCAGTTGGGCCCCCCAGCACGGCGCACTTTACACCTCTAGGCTATATCCTATAT